CCCAGCCAGCTTTCATGCCTAAGGTGGGTCTAGAACTCACCGTCTCCCAGTTTCTAGCCTCATGACATCTTATCTTGCATCTTATCTTTGACACAATATTTTTAAGTAATAAAAAAAGTTATATAAATACAATGAATTGAAGAAATGAAATGAAACCGGAGGCCCATCAATGCCATTATGGAAAGATTCCTCCCATTGCCTTCTGAGAAGGAGTTCACATGTCATACTAAGCTGCAATGAAATGTATTTGCATTTGGTCATTCAACGACCTGTGTTTTACTCAAGAAATCATGTTAAGGATATTTTAGGCAAACATGTTGTTTGCTCTTAGTCTGAATCTTCTTTGCTGCTCAGAATTGCTGCTATAGTTCTAAATTTGCGATTTGTTCTCTTTCCAGATGAGGTAGAAATAAAAAAGTGTACTGCAACCACCGATACCATGTGTGCTTGCATGAATGGTACCTTCTGCCTACCTGACCAGCCATGTGAAACTTGCATTAAATGTATGACAAGGTCAGCATTATTTCACACTGCTTAAAACGCTTTAGAAGTAATTTGGCAGTCTCTATTCTGACACCAAAAAAAAAAAAAAAATTGAGAGAGGTTTGGAGAAGGTGGATAAAGACCACAGATCTTTGGGGTGGGAAGAAGAGGCTGGGGGGGTGGGGAAGGTGGAAAAAGCAGGAGGTTCTGCTACCACAACCTTCTAATTTCCAAGCTTTGAGCAATCCCTGATGAGGCATTCATAAAAAGAACTGAGCTTTTAAGATTCTGAGTGACACTTTGTGAAGCAGTGGTTTTGCACAGATTTATGTTTGGAGGTATTTATAAAAACGAAGGAGGAAGAGGAGAAGGAGGAGGAGAAGAGGAGGAGAAGAAGAGGAGGAGGAGGAAGAGGAGAAGAAGAAGAAGAGGAAGAAGGAAGAAGAACTACTACTGAAAAGGCTATTGTATCTACTCTGGAAAGATTGCCTTCACAGATAAGAGAATTCTCTGCTTCAAGAAATCGATATCAGGCACATTAGCCTTGTTGACAACTTCTTGAATACATAACTTCTACAGAGTGGTGAAATTGGCCTGTCCATCACCAGATGGCAGTCTATCACAGTAGCATAATGGAAGGTGTATCTAAAAAGAACAATTCCAGTGACTGCCACACAACACAGCTCTTGTGACAACTTCCATCTGCTTTTTTTTTGTTGTTAGTTGCAGAGTCTTATCCGACCCATCACGACCCCATGGACAATGTTCCTCCAGGCCTTCCTATCCTCTACCATTTTCCGGAGTCCATTTAAGTTCACACTAACTGCTTCAGTAACTCCACCCAGCCACCTCCTTCTCTGCTATCTCCTTCTTCTTCTATTGCCTCAATCTTTCCCAGCATTACTTAAGTGCTTATTTTGCTGATATATGTATATTCCTACAGCTTGGAAATGTTCTAGGTTGCCAAATATCCTAGAATCTTAGGATAGGTTATCCCCAAGGTGCTTCTTTCAAGAGGCAACTGGAACTTTGGTTTTTCTTTGAAGATTATTTCGCTCCTCATCCAAGAAGCTTCTTCAGCTCTGGAGAAGCTTCTTGGATGAGAAGTAAAACATCTTCAAAGAAAAACCAGTTGCCTCCTGAAAAAAGCACCTTTGGGACAACCATGACCTGGATGACTGAGAACCTCCCTAGACATTTAGGACAGGTTACCGTCAGTTAGCTGTTGCTTCTAGCGGTTCAACACTGAGTAGTTCGAATTGATTCTTGTTCAGTCTGAGAGGTGACCAAATCCTTCAATGTCCCATTTTCTTTTTGTGTCCATAGCTGTGGTCCTGGAGAAAGAAAGGTAAAGGATTGCATGCCTACAAGTGACATCCAATGTCTTCCTGATGCTACCTCATCACCTCCAACAAGTAAGTTCCTTGCATCCTGGTGGACCAGTAGCAATGAACGTGAGAATATGGTGCTAGTCCTAAAATGAATGTTCAGACAGAACAATATGGAAATGTAACAAAATAGGGCAACGATGAGAGCTTTCGGTTAGAATACTTCCTGGCCAGATGATTTGGTTCCTGCTGTCCTCTGGCTTTTGAACTCGCAACTGTCCCTTCCCTGGAAGAGAACCAGCGTTCTGTATCTGCTGAGCAGGCACCGTTCTTAGGGAAGTTGCTATCATATTAGATTTTGATTGTTAAAGAGAGGGATAGGGGGGAATTTAGATTAAAGACAAAAAGATGTTTATGTGCTTGTGTTGTTCGGTGTTTTTGTTTATTTTTAATGGACCTTTACTGATTCCTAAGGAGAGTTGAAGATTTAGAGATGAATTCTAGAAAATGGGGTGAGATGTGGAATGAAGATGCATCTGATTGTATTTTAAGAGATATATTGAGCTTGGTTGTTTTCTTGCAGACATTTCATTACCAAGTAAGATAACATCATCAGTGCTAGTAGGGAGCAGAGTTTGTTCTCATTTTATATACTGGTGGCTTGCTTGTCAGTGTTGGTAGGAGTCGTCTTAGTAATTCCTTGATTGGGCTGTTGTTTACTGTTAGATTGTTTGTCTGGGTTGGAAGTTCCTTAATCGGGGTATTGTTGACTTCTTGATTGTTAGTCTAGTGTTAATCTTGGGGCTAATCTCTGCTTTAGACCAATCAAGCAAACAATACCCCAATCAAGGAACTTCCAAAGACGAACAACCTAACCGTAAACAACAGCCCAATCAAGGAATCTCCAAAACCACTTTAGTCTCCAGACTTGGCTTTTATCAGTTTCTCCTCAGATGGGGCCGATTCCAGAAAGGGGGTTTTGTAGATTAAAGTCATTACATCAAATTTTACTGCAAGCCTCTCAGAAGCCAGTTTGAAGAAGCATACCATCCAAATGATCAGATACAGATTAACAGAGTTGGAAGGGACCTTGTAGGTCAACTAGTCCAACCCCCCCACCCACCCAAGCAGGAGACCCTTCCCCATTTCTGACAGAGGGCAGTCCAGTCTCTCCTTGAAAGCCTCCAGTGATGAAGCTCCCTCAACTTCCGAAGGCAACTTTTGTTCCATTGGTTGATTGTTCTCCCTTTCAGAAAATTTCTCCTTATTTTCAGGCTGAATCTCTCCTTGGTCAGTTTCCATCCATTATTCCTTGTCTAGCCTTCAGCCAGTCTACACCTGCCCTTTTTCCTCTTTCATTTTAAGGTTCCCCTGGACCAGGAGATCATGGATTGGCCTGGCTTGTGATTCCTGTGGTTGCTGTGGTGGTGGTTCTGGGCGTGGTATTGTATAGGAAAAGACCCACAACCTTTAGAAATGGTAAGAATAATCTTTTTGTTTTCCCTGAGACTTAAAATGGTTAAGCACGGCCCTTGCTATGATAGTGTGATATGTAAAGAACTTTTTAACATTGGAGTGGCGAGGGCAAAGAAGGGAGCCTCAGTATTTAGAAGTTACAGAGTCTAGAATTCTGCCATCCTGCTCTGCATAACAGTGTTTCTCAACTGTGGCAACTTAAAGATGTGTGGACTTCAAGTCCCAGAATTCTGGAGAAAAGATGGACAGAACTGATGCATAGCTCTTAATCATGCCCAATGCCTTCCCTTCCTTCTTTCCTTCTCCATAATCAGTGCTGCAGATGTCCCAGTGTAATTGTTCCCTTGTTTTTAACATTTTTTTTTTATCTGCAACACCCAGGGTCATTGGGAGTTAAGTGGCAGAATTAATAACAATAATAGCAAAAACAATAATATCCCACTAGCATCCTGACTCCAAATCTTCCTTTCCTTTCCCCTTCCTTCCTTCCTTCCTTCCTTCCTGTCCAACCTGCTGAAAAATATAATAACAATGTTTCCTTTCCTTCCCTCCCCTTTCTTTCCTTTCTCCGTTCCTTTCCTTTCCCTTCCTTCCTTCCTTCCTTCCTTCCTTCCTTCCTTCCTTCCTTCCTTCCTGTCCAACCTGCTGAAAAATA